CCTGAAAACTTATCTTAATTCTGCAGACTGCTTGGAAAAAACAGTTTTGTCACAAACTACTCCCATTCATCAAAATGAGGCATTAGCTACAAAACCTAAAGGACAAACATGTTTGAAATTTCAAACTATCCTACTAACAACTGTAGCATAAGCTTTCAACCGAAGCAGTTATTCTAACCCAATTACTTCCTACATTTCTAAGATTGTCCCCTAATGCAAGTTTTATGATCCAGTCATGTCATCAATACTGAAAAAAACCTTTGTTTCCCAATATTAATGTCAGAACACCTCAAAGATTGCCATTCAATCTAAAAGTAACAATACTGAGATTTTAATAGCATGAAAGTGCCTTTAAAAAAAACGATAAACTTATTTTGTTCTTGTTGCAAAGTGCAGAGGCAGCAACACATCTGAATGATCACAGCTTAGACAGAGATGATGTTTAAATCTGAACTAGTACAAGATTATGTGGACCCAGATCAAGTAAAGAGGGAACGTACACATTCCCAGAGGGGCATGGCCACACCACCTGGGTTCGAATGAATCTCCAAATTACGCTACAGTTGTAAGCAGTTTTTGCAGTTACTTCCAGCAAACAGCAGGTCCTCTTGACTACTTTGCTGTCCTAATGAAGCTGCACACTATAAACTGTCTCAAATCCCTTCCAAGGTCAATTAGAACAGATTTTGTTAAGCATAGAAGTTGGGCGGGTAGGGCAGCACTGCAGAAGCCTCCCCTGAACACAGCTCCACGTAAAGGCATTCAGGCTCCTAAAAAGGTTGCAGGTGCATTAGTGTACTGAGCTGAAAACAGGCTGGAAGTGTCACTTTAAGTGCCTTCAACTGGGAGGGCAAACAAAATGAAAGTGAAGACACTGCTGCAAATGATTCCCCCCTGCAATCCTACCAGAGTCTTAACAGCCAAGCTTCTGCTGTCAAGAGAAAGGCTAAGCAAGAGGAAAGAAGAGGAAAGCAACATGGTGGCACGAAGCAGCAATGTGACAAAGAGCTGTTACAACACAAGGAAGATGATCTCAATCAAAAAGGCAATGTGTGGGAGATCAGTGTGCTGGATCATGAATTTCAGAAATGCAAGCAATATCCTATAGCTGTAAGGCAAGGTTTTATTACACATAAGTTATTAGCAAGCCAGGTCAGTTTAGAACCTGTCTGACTGCTAGGAAAACTGTGATTTTGATTTGAAAAGGTAGTACTCACCCTACCTTGACTTGTCTTAGAATAAAGAAGCCAGAATGAGGGACAATGATAGTAAAGAGATTTAAAAAAAAAAAAAAAAAAAAAAGCTAAGAACTGACATCACACTGGAGTTGGTGATAACCATTTAATTTTCAATAGACTGGAAACAGGAAGGATTAGACACACTGAATGCATGATAAAAGACTGGTCAACATGCCAAAAGAGGTTTAGAAAAGTCATTTCTGACAGTTCCTGTCTTTCCAGTCAAGGGCTATCAGCTGGGAGATGGAGGGAGAAGGAAGAGCCCAAAGCTACAACAGTTTCACAAGTCAGGAACCAGGAAAAGCAAAGCCAGACAAACAGCATAACATAAAGGCTAAGAGATTATGTTAGACAAATCTGGATTAGAAACACAGTATGTATTTAGCAGTGGAGATGAGTATGCTCCAACAAACAATGCAGAATTTTTCTTTTCCAGTCAAAGTTGAATGTCTTTCCTAAAACGTACACTGTTTGAAACTGGGGTTAATGTGGGGACATCAAGGACCATGCTGGGCAGGGGATCGGATGAGATGATCCAAATTGTAATCTACAACTTCATTAATCACTAACAAGGAAAGAAGGTATTCATATTTTTTACTACAGTGGGCAAGGAAAGGAGTAGACAAAAGACAGTAATTCTTTTTAAATTCAAAGTCACACCTACTCTTAAATTGACTCTGCTTTTGAGAATACAGAGGACTGATCCTCCAGCCCGAGTAAACTATTTCTCACAGCGCAGTTGTTCTTTCACCTCTTATTCTAAACCAACTGCATTGCTCTCAGAGCCTATTTGCAGTTTCTTACCCATTTTTCCCACCCCAAGAAGTTGAGACTTGTGGCTCTTAAAGCCATCAACAGCTTTTGCAAAAAAAACCAGTTTTGGAATGCAAACTTATACACTTCCAGTGATATCACTGCCATCGAATTACATACCTAATATTTTCAACAGTCCTAGACAAGAAAAAAAATCAGAGGCCTATATCAAATAATAGCAGAGCAGTAACCTGGTTAACCTCAGCAGGCAAATTCACCTGCTGGGAGTCTCAATGAGCAGAGACACAGGACTGCTGCGAAATGTGCTGCTGGGGGCTAATGGAGGTTCTCCTTCTCAAGTACCTTTGAGATTTGTCAGTAATGGATCCTCCCTCATAGAAAAAGAAATCCCAAACAACCTGATGGTGAACACTGACTGAATTTTTTTCAGAGCTTTAAGTCAACATTAGGTGATTAATCACCACCCTAGAAAGCTCCTTAACCAACAAAATTGAGACCCTGCAATCCTGATAGCATTTTGCTCCGAGTAAAGTCTATGGTGCTCAAGCACACTACCTTAGCATTGATGTGTGGAAGATCTGAAGTGTAGCCAAGAAAAATGCACCACATTAAAAGAAAAAGGAAAAACATACTTAATGTAACACTGTAGAAGAGGCTTCTGTCACCAATTAGCCAGTATCAGACTCATTCTCAAAGCATATGTTTGTTTTGCAAACTTGGAAGCTATGAAGCAGATGCTGCCCTCAAAGTACCATGAGAATTTATACAAATACACTAGTTTTGGTTTTTGGTTTTGTGTTTTGTTTTTTTTTTTGTTTGTTTGTTTTGTTTTTTTTCAAGAATGCATGATGTTTACACCCAGAGGCATTTTATTCGTAAGTCTTCTCCATTGAAACAAGGGAGTGCTTCTTGTGAGTACTGCTTATTCTAAGATGATAAAACCAAGATGCTGTCCACAGCTCATTTTGAGCATGGTCCCTGTCATCCTTCCCGTTCAGAGATGCCCGTTTTCCAGCTCCTTCAAGGCATCCAGAAGGGGTCTTCTAAATCTTAGCACAAGGACTCTGCTCTACAGACAAGTCACTAATCACCTGGTTCCTGAAGCATTTAAAATTGTATTCAGGTTACTGTAAATTCCATAACAGTGCAGCAAGACTGAAAACTGTCATTTAGAGACCTATATAGTAGACCAAAGATCAAACTCAGATGAAGGTGGGGGGGTCACGCTATAAACTGAATGGACTATGATCAGAATTCCCCAAGAAAAGTAGCCTGACACTACTGACCAGGAGAATCTCAGTAAGCCCACTGTATTCTTTGGCACAAGGAGTGGTTTCAAAAATATTCCTTCTAGGAGACGTGAACTGGAAAATAAAAGTGAGAGGAAAACCACCAAATTCCACTCAGGCCATCATCTAATCTACCTCCTTTGACTACAGCATGGATAGAAGAAATAGCTGGATGGTTTTGAGAACCTACAGAAGGAAAGAAAAATGAAAATTTAGCTAAATATTCACTGTGATGTCAATTCTCATACTTTAGTATGCATTAAGCACAAGTAAAAGCAAAAGAGAATGTTCTGTAATTACTAAAATTTGGTATCAAGATCAAGTAAACAGTCATGAAAACTGCTGGTTTGCAGGATCAAAGATCACAAGGAAGATTTTTACCTTTCATAAATTCATTCTGAAGTTCAGGATCCTTAGATCTAATCCATTTCAAGATAAAACTAAGACAGCACTCTTGGAGGGAAAAATATCCAATTCCTCTAGCCTGTTTGTACACTTGTATTATACACTGAAACAGTCATAATTCAGAGAAAAGTCAAAATTGATAGGAAACCAACAAAATTGACTAAATACACCACGTATAATTGCAATTTGCAGAATTTACATATATTTTTTAAATCCTCTGTTGTTCTATAAACAAGCTTCCTCACAACCTTCTTTAAGTAGGTTGTACACATTATGAAATCTCTGTTTTACATGAACCCATATTTAAACTGCCCCAGGCGAACTTTAAACATTTAGTATTTATAAAATTTATGGGTTTGAGTGGCCAGTGTCTTTTCAAAGACACTCAGCACCTCTGACAAGTTTGGCAAGTTTTGAGATTTAAAAGTAAACAAAGGACCCTAACATGTCAAATACCTACAAGTATCCATTTTGCTTCCCACATTTACAATTCTACCTTCATCCCCTAATTCCCATACACTTGCTGTCTTATTTTCTTATTTGGTCACCAATAAAAAGACACTGCTTAGGCAGACTAGACTTCAAATAATGTCACAGTATATTTTCAGTATTGGTCTCCTGCCCTCTTTTTATCCGATCCTTACATAAACAGCCTCAGACTCCCAGAAGGAGCGCTACCCTGAATACTGTAATTCTGCTTAACTGGACGTGGTAGGTGCAGACAGCAGTCATTTCCTGAGCTAGGAAGTCTGAAAGGGCTAGTAGGTAAACTACAGCATTCCCCTAAAACACATAAACATGTTAGAGAAATAATATAAGAAATATTATTTCCATAGTACTATCGTTAATGGTATTCATAATAGCATCGGTGAACTATTATACTCTGCTAAACAGAGGTTACCAAAACTGATATAATCAGACAAAATTCAGTTTCTCTTCAGATACAGTATGCCTAATCTCAGACCACTCACCCCTAAAGCATTAAAGCATGCAACTCAAACACAAGTTTAGGAAGCTGAAGTATGAAAGTTATATTTAAACAACTAAGCAGGGAAAATTTGAGAAGTCGTCAGATTTTTAAACTTAATCTTTTTTAGCGAAGTATTACCACAAACAGTGGTAAATTCCTCTCCAGGCTCCTGACTTAATCTTCTCTGGATTGCAACGTATAAGCCCTCCTTTGTTGGCTGCAGTATTTCAACCCCTGCTGATGTGTCAAAAACTGTGAACATTAGGCAAAATACAACTATGCTGCATTGTATCACATTTATTCCCTTTTTCTCTTTTCTAGAAGATGACAACAGATATGATAGAGAGCAATAACACCAAATCCAGCGCTCCCCTCCTGACCCAAAGATACCTGAGGATGGTGACCAAGGATGGACACAGCACATTCCAGATGGATGGTGCCCAAGGAAAAGGTCTGGCATACCTCCGAGATGCATGGGGAATATTAATGGACATGCGCTGGAGATGGATGATGCTTGTCTTTTCTGCTTCTTTTGTCATTCACTGGCTAGTCTTTGCAGTGCTTTGGTATTTGCTGGCTGAGATGAATGGGGACCTGGAGCTGGACCATGATGCTCCACCTGACAACCACACTATATGTGTCAAGTACATCACCAGTTTTACAGCTGCTTTCTCCTTCTCACTGGAGACACAACTCACAATTGGTTACGGCACTATGTTCCCAAGCGGGGACTGTCCCAGTGCTATTGCACTGCTTGCAATACAGATGGTCCTGGGGCTCATGCTGGAAGCCTTCATCACAGGTAATCTTTCATATTTAATCTTTAAACGAATTAGATTTAAGAAATGGAGCTAGAAATAAATAGTGATCATATTGGTATTTGAAAGAACAATGAAGTCAGGCACTACAAGGATGATGAGATTTCAGCTGTATAGTAGTAAAAGTTAAACACCTTTCATTAACAAAAGACAAATTAGGTGATATCAAGATTTGGACTTGAGAGTTCCACTATACATTGGACGATATTTGTGGCAGATTCCCACTTAGCACTCTCAATCACTTATTTCTTATACCATTACCTCTCCAAGTGTTTTCCATGGAATTACAATATTTAAAGTCAATTTCTTTTGATTTTAAGGTTTACTTTAGCTGAAGTATTTTTGTTGATCTTTAAGTATTCCTCAGTACCCGATGTAATGAAAATTTTTACATCACAGCTATTTTAAGGTATTTAAAAATAATTTTCAGGTTTAAAGTATTTCAAAAGACTTTAAAAATACAGAGGTTAGTTTACTGTGCATTAAGAAAGAGCTTCTCCAGCGGCAGCACACCAAGATCAGGTACTATTACCAATTACCGTAAATCGGGGCAAGCTAACGGCTCTCCTTCCTACAGCTACAGTTCACTCTCCAAATATTAGTAAGGGAACATAGTTTAGAAAAAGCAGCATTTTAGGAAAGCTATACTTTTTAAACAAAAATGGGTTAGTGTGATGCCACCCTAGCAGTTTTCAAACATGCAGGCTGAGGCTAGAAAGACCATGTCCACCCAAGCCTACTTCTGTTCCTTTGGACTGTTTCACAGAGCTCGGAGGCTGCAGGGAACCAACCCAGGCACAGTGCTCGTGTTCAGTTTGTTCTTTTCCGTGATGCAGGTGCTTTTGTGGCAAAGATTGCCCGACCAAAGAATCGGGCATTCTCCATCCGCTTCACCCGCTCTGCTGTAGTGACACACACCGAGGGGAAGCCATACCTTATGTTCCAGGTGGCCAACACACGCTCCAGCCCACTGACTAGCGTCCAGATTTCTGCTATACTTTACCAAGAACAAGAGAATGGGCAGCTGCACCAAACTAGCGTGGACTTCCACCTAGACAGCGTTACTTCAGATGAGTGTCCTTTTTTCATCTTTCCACTGACCTACTACCATTCAATCACTCCATCCAGCCCTCTGGCTGCTCTCCTCCAAAGAGAAGCTGCTCACCATTTTGAGCTGGTCGTCTTTCTGTCAGCTGTGCAGGAGGGCACAGGAGAAACATGTCAAAGGAGAACATCCTACCTCCCCTCAGAGATCATGCTGTACCATCGCTTCGCCTCCGTGCTAGCCCGCAATGCCAAAGGTGAACATCAGATCAAGATGGAGAATTTTGACAAGACTATTCCTGAGCTCCCAGCTGCGGCTGACTCAAAGAGTCCAAAAAGGACTGACAAGGAGATCCGCATCAATGGACAGCACGCCGACAGCTTCCAGCTCTCCGAGACTGGCCTCACAGAATAGAGAGAACAGACTTTGAACTTTGTGCTTTTTTAATTATTATTACAATAAAGTTTCAGGTTCCATTTACAACCTTCCTTCCTTGCCTGCCCTGACATCTTCTAGTGATCTTTCTCTTGTACTCCCATCCTTTTGATTACAACATGATATGCAGAGTAAAGAGAACTGGTGTGACCATGTAAGCTGAGGAGAGGCTGGATTAACCACCCAGGACAAAGTCAGGTACAAGAATCACAGTACTAATTCTTGGAAATTAAAAGAGCTACCTGCTGAATTCACCAGACTATGATTAAAGCTGCACTGACCCTGAAAAGGAGAGACCTTCAAAACTCCTAAAGCTGACCAAAATCATAATTAACCAGCTTGTGACAAAATGGACAACAATACAAAAGAAAAATCTCAGTCAAAACCAATATGGGGTCATTTAGTAAATACATTACTTCTGAAATAAGCAACTCCGTTCATCCAAGATCCTAATTTTTCTATTCTCTTAACTCTTTGGGAACACAGAGTTATATCAGTTTTCAGATGGCTGAATTCACTCTTAGAGTACTGCCAATCTCTCATGGCAGTGAAAAGCACTCCTACTGTGCTTATTAAGCAGAATTGTAAATACTAACTGTAGTTCTTCATTCTGCCAAATAAGAAAACATCTCATTTCAAGACAGGTCTATGAAGACACTATCAAAAAAATCTTGATGTATATGACGAATGCTGCAGTGGAAATTTTTTCATATTTGGAAACACTGAATAAATTATTTAGCAGTGGAAAACAGACTATTCTAAATGAATTAATGTACTTTTTTTTTTTTAAAAGACCATACATTCCACATGTTCTCACCTTTGCGCTGCCTGTCTCAAGTAGATCTGACCCAGAAGGATGCACTATATACACAAGTAGAACTGCATCCATTTATATTTTATGCTTTTTAACATCGATATTTGCCTGTACACACAGCACAAAAATATTTAGAGACACGTGAATCAATTTTAAAATAAAAAATTAAAACAAACTATACATGAGACTTCTGTATTTAAGTGCCTCATAAACCTACTGCAATTATGACACTGTTCTGAAGCTCCTAAATAATTTAAGAAGCGAAAAAATAAACAGAACAATGGATAATTATTTCCAAGCTCTCACCAAAGCAGTGCCTATTACGTGTTCATACTTGAACAGTCAAGTATCAAAATAAAGTAAAAGTTATTTTTCAAAGGTAAAAGACTCTTCCCAGGAACCAAGGTGGCATGAATAGCAGCTTTCACTGACAACAGCATAATACACTACCAAACGTACTTCCTTTTAACTTCAGTGAAGTGGTCAGCAGCAGGAAAAATGGTCTCAAACTATCTGATGAGATACTGTTTAACTGAATTCTTCTCGAGCCCCAAAATTCTGTTAACTGAAGTGTGTTCATAACCCGAAAGAAGGTAGCAAAAAGCTACTTTCTTTTAGGATCTGGGGAAATGGGAAGCAGCCCCGTAGAAGCATTTCACACAGGGAAGGAGTACAAGGCAGAAAGCCCACGTTTTCATTGCAATTCAGCTCTTGTTCCAAAACGGTTCAAGTATGGCCTCCCCACATTCCAGACCTCAGACAGATTTGGTTTTATCACAGATACTCTCTAAATCTCTTTTTTAAAATTTAATTTTACGTAAAACCATTCATAAATATTGTGGAGCTTGGAGAGCAACACACTATCAAGTTACATTGCCTTCATCCCTACTTTTCTTAACTGTTGACCCATATGCAGTCTAAAGATCCCTTTTCCACCCTCATATCAGTACCAATAATTTTTAAGTATTTCTTGCAAGTGTTATTTCCACGTGCACTACCAATATAAGACATTGAGTCCTACAAATTAAGAACCAGTGCAAGAGCAGTAGAACAGATTCCTGTGTCAAGTCTGAAATAACCATTCAGGAAAACAAGCAGTATTCTGTGTGAGGTATTTTTTTTCCCATATATCACATACTCCACTCTCAGACAAACCAACCATTCTAAAATTCAGATGCATAATCCCTACAGGATGGTACTGTAATCTCACCATTTAGAGCCAAAGCTATAAAAAGCTATTTCTAATTTCAATTAATGTCTAATCAAAGTGTGGGTTGCTTCATTTGGCTTCTAAATTACTTGATACTTTAAAGTTGTCCTGTTTTTTTTTTTTAAATAATTTTCTATTTATAGATTTGGTTTAAAAGGGGGTACAACAGTTTCAATTAATGTCTAATCAAAGTGTGGGTTGCTTCATTTGGCTTCTAAATTACTTGATATTAAAGTTTTGTCCTGTTTTTTTTTTAAATAATTTTCTATTTATAGATTTGGTTTAAAAGGGGGTACAACAGCAAGTATAAAGAAAAAAATATGTTTAGTATACACTAAATGCAATCTTCAAATATTACATTTTGGAATGTAAAGCTGAAGAATACTACAGAAGCAAATCAGACAAACACAACTGTGTAGTTACTTCAGAACAGCTGCAGAACAAGGGGTAGACAAAACACCCCCATTGCTTTTACAGTTCCAGAGAACTGGTGAACCATGGATGTCTGATAAAGTATTGGAAATATGCCATGGCCCAAATTGGAATACAAGCCTAGAAAAATTGCTGATGGGCTCTGATGCAGCAAAATTGCATTCTACACTTTGACTAACATTGCAAAAGCAAGCTGGTGATGAACCTTCTTTGGATGTACTTCTTGCTAGTGAGGTAGGGAAGAAAAACAAGCCACGCAGAGCAAGGGCAAGTGCGATTCAGGGAAGTTCAACATCCTTTTTATAGCCACTTCAACACCCTTTTTATATTCAAGTCTTCTTAACCTAACCAAAAAATACACGTTAAACAGAACTCAATCAGGTTCCACAACTGACTTACTAAATGTCTTGTTTAATCTACATTACAATTATTTACTACCAGCATGTAATTGCTGGCAACTCATCAACTCCCCTCAGCCACTAAGCTGGTATTAGTCAAGAGGCTGCACAGAAAATTAAGCAGCTTTTGTGCAGTTCTAAAAGACAGCCGTGATCAAGAAAACAACTTGCTCATTTTCTTTGCTAATGGCCTCAACCTTCCAGAAGCAATTTGGGTTCTCAATGAAGTCTGTCAGAACTGTGACAATCTTCAACAGAAACTCACAAATACTTTGTGCGCCTTCAATTTGCATACTGAAACTAGGAACAGATATTGTTTATGTTGAGAATCAGTCAAATGTGAACTTGGAAACTATTGTGAGCACTGAAAAAGCAATCATTAATTTTTAAGAACAGCATATTGATCATATTTGAGAAGTAATTCTTTGTTAAACATCTATTAGTTTTTTAATCTCATGATTTTTAATTGAAGGGTTCTTGCATTGTCACCCATTATGAATGCCCAGAAGAGTTTAATATTTGATCTCTTATTAATTCTGTAGTGTGATCACTCAGAACAAAGAATATCAAAAAGATGGCAACTCAGTAAATTATGTAATTTGAGGCTAATCCAAGGTCCTATGAAAGAGCAATGAAAAACTGAAGCACAATAAAGTTAGAGAATAAAATCCTAGACTAAGAAGTTTAACCAGGGTAATAGACACGAATATAGACACCTGCTAAAGCATGTTAGCCCAAATCATAAACTGCATGTCAATTCACTCCTTGATCTTTCTGCTTCCACTGCTTTGTGTGGTATACTAGTGCCTGGTATTAAGGTGGGACTTCTTTTGGCACATCCATATCCCTATCTCACACTCAAAATATTTTGTCATTGGAAAGCCTTTACATAACAGTAACTATTTGTTCATTAATCAAGGCTTGAGTCAAAACAGACCAACATCTTCTGTTAACATTTTTGTGCTCTCCACCTTATTTCTCTTTGAAGGTAAAGGGGAGAGAAGCGATCCTCCCCCTTATTGGGACATTAATCTCTAACATAGCGATATGCAAACACAAATTACTATTGTTAAAACAATTTTTTAATATTAAAACTTCAGAAAGATTGCAGGTCTCTTGCCTCTATCATACTGGGCTACAGAGCTTTTAGCCAAGTAAGATCAAACTAGAAGAGAAATAGAACCAGAAACTTAAGAGGAGCAATCAGGTACTACAGAAAGCTTCATTATTTGAGAATAAGCACACCACCCCTCCTCACAACGAACCAGGACTTCCAACAAAGCACACAGCGACACCATCTTCTCTGGAAAATGGTTCACAGAAGATGCATTTCAAAGTCCTGATCACTAGCAGCTGCTACAAACAAGACATGCTATACTAGCTGAAGCATTAACCCCCAATATTCAGGCAGAAGTCAGCTTCAGTAAGCACATCTTGCATCCTGTAAATTCCTCTCAATTTCAACTGAGATACACATCTCATCCCAAACTAACATGCAATATTTTTATCACAGTCTTAATGAGAAATGTGGTACATTCTATAGTCTGGATCTGGAAGTGTTGTAATTTTATCAGAAGAACAGGAAGAGGCTAAATAAATAAAATGGAATTAACTGTGGGTGATATTACTTTTACATCCGTTTGTCTTTTGTAAAAAATGCAGGGATTAAAATACACTCCTGTCAACTTTTAATTGCAACTGAATCTCTTTGGGTTTGTTTGTCTTGGAACTCAACCTGCAATTGTCTTTCCTGATCTATGCTTTATCAGTATGTTCACTAAGGAGGATATTTAGCCAAGACTCCTTCAGCAAAGACCGAAAGATGCTCTGGGTCCTAAAAAGACAAGACTCATTGTCAGCAAGCTTTTACTAGTACAAAACCACTCACTAAGCACAGATGTGGCACATGCATGTGGAAACATGCCAGGCAGAAAGAGCAAGGTCATACAAGAGAATGATCAATGCATGATCACACGAAGCAGAAAGTCACTGCAGTTACCATATAACCAATTGATAGAGGAGAACTTCCTTGAATGTTCTTACCACCCTCAGAACACAGATTTTACCTAAATGGGTATGTTCCATCTCCAAGATGACAACACACTCCAATTCAAGTTCAGCTGAAAGTTCAACCAGACATACTGTGACTAAGGATCCAGTATTCCGCCTGAACGTGGCCAGTGTGAAGCATTTACTAAAGAGAATAGGAGAGGAATGGCAGAGAGGGGGACCAGATAATAACCTGAATGAACAGAAGATTTGTATGATGACTTAAACTAATTTGACAGACAGTAAATCCATCAGCATGGGAACCTCAGAACATTGCTGCTGGGATCTACCTCACACTAGCAAGCATTCAAAAAAATTAACAGTTCACATGGTCCAGAAGTCCTAGGTACTAAAACAGCACATGCCAGGAATATTTAAAAGCTACACTAAAAAGGCATATTGCCACAGCACACCTGTTAATCAGTACACACTCCTTTCACAGAGGTACAGGAATTTAGTTCCAGCTGTAGACATCACATCTTAATTGAATAAACAGAACCTACTTACTGCAGATTTTTCTTATCTAAAGCATTTAAATGTCTAATAGTGAAAACAACACAAAATAAGAAAAACAACACTTTGAGAACACATTTAGGTAACCTGGCACAGTATCATGAATCTTGTATCAACAATATACTTGGAGCAATAAGAAAGGTTTATGTACGTATAGGTCCCTTCCCCAAAACACACCCTGCTCCTCCCTCCCATTTTCTGCCCATACAGTAACAAAACCATACCTGGATCTTTTCGCCCTGGTTTTTCAAAGCGTCTGTCTCCCCTAGAAAGGCAGAATAGAAGTTTCAAATAAGGTTTTAGAACTACTCCACTCATTTTAGGTATGGGTTTGGTTGCTTGTTTGGTTTTGGGTTTTTTTGTTTGTTTTTTTTGTTTTTTACTTGGTAGGGGGCTTTTTTAAAATCAGAGCTTGATGGACAGTATCTTTAAAGGTCCAAGTGACAACTGAAATTTTCAGGAACACTGATATGCTCACAGCCTTTGGCATCAAGGTGTGTTTTGAAATGTGACCCTAAGTACTATCAACAATGTAGAGGGCTAAAATTGAAGTGAATCCTTTAGCAATCCATATTTTCACCCATCATTTCCACTGGAACTGTCATAATTTATCTCCTCGTAAAGTAGTTCCTTCTTCCCAGGAACTGAGAAGAAAAATTCTTTGCAAAAATGCTCTTTTTACTTGCTCGTGAGTTTCTAGAAACATTACTGTGTTGACTCCATCTTAGAAATTCAGACACTCCGCTCACAGATACACCTAATTGCCTTTCCTAAAGTATTTTTACGAAGTCAAGAGGCACAAATGGAAGCTGAGCAGATGTATGTGAAAAACTTTAAGGGCTAGAGTTCTGTTACCTTTCCTCCCAACTCTGTGATCTGTGCATTTCCCTGCCCCCTCCTCGCCCAAATCCACCCTCCACTTCATCAAAACTTCTTTGGTAGAAACCGCTTTCTCCTCGGCCTCTGCCTGAAAAGACAAAAAACACAAGTGTTTGTACAAATAATAATAGAAGTTGAAAGAATCAGGTAGGTTTCCTTTTCCTGGTGTCCCTGTGAACTAATCTTGCAGTCTTAAGCCCCAGTGAAATTATCTGGGGCAAAGGGAAAAAGAAACAAAGACTGAAGAAAGAGTCTTATGTAAAAATTCTTATCAAGAAGCACAAGATCAGACAGAACAGGCAAACGATTCTGAAATAAATACTACGCAGAAAAACACAGGAGACAGATACTTACCCAACAGAAACTACCAAACAAGGATGCATTGTTCACACAACATCCACACAGTACATGTGTACTTTACACTCATGAAAATCAGATTGCTTTTAACAGTGGAATCCAGTATAATAGTACTGCACTGCAGATGTACTCATAATTACTGCTGTCAAGATTAATAAAGGAGAAGGAAGCTTCACCACTACTAAGTTCTAGTGATTCCCAGCAGAAATCTCTCCTAGGAGGAGTGGGAAGAAAAGAAGGATCACAGGATGGATATAGGCAGGACAGCACGAAGAACCCCAATAGCTACAGAATAAAAATTATCCTTCTCACTTTTTCAAGAAATTATTCTCTGTAGGTGGCTACCAAGTATCAAGCCTCAAGCCAAAAAATTACAGATGCATCCTCAAGTCAAGCATCTTGAAGCACATCTTCAAGTGTCTGAGTAGGCACGGGGTGTTTGGTTTAAAAAAGAAAAAAAAAAGAAAAAACACAACAGAAAAACAACACCCACACACATCCCCAGATCTTCAAGATAGCTTCCAGCACTAGTTAGGTTAATGGCTGGGGTGAAGTTTCCAGATCTACAAAAGATAACACTGCTTCACAAAGTGCTACAGTAGAAGAAATGGCAGGTTTTTTTATCAGCTAACTTACCATTTCAAGGATCTCATGGAAAGAGGACAAACAAGTGAAACACATCAATCAGATGGCTGGCAGGATAATGCCTTTCCTACATACACATGCAGCCTCCATAGTCAAGTCCAAGAACCTAAAAAGCACCTCATAAAGGGAATTCTTGGCTGTGAAACTATCACAAACCTCAATCCTTTCGTATTTCTCTCTTCCTGGCTCCAAGAAAACAAGCACCTCAAAGGATGAGGTGCAAACATGGCCAGGGATTCAGAGGAATAAGTCAGAATGACCAAATGAAATGGGAAATAAACCCCTTGAGAACAGACTCCAGCCTCTGTAGTCTTCTGAAGAAAGTAATGATACCAAGCTTCTATGTCTAAAATCTAAAGACCCCTGGATGCATCAAGGAATTGTACCATATTTCAGTGTCTTATGAAAAGAGACTCTAAAAAAAAATGGAAATAATTAAGGCAGTTGCAACAGTTTTTCTACTGTTCTATACCAAATCTCTCGCAAAAAAAAAAAGTTGCTTTCCAGGCAGAGAAAAAGAAAAGTGATCCCCAGATAATCCAGCCAGGCTCCTCGAAGACACACTGATTTCGTATCAGGCAGTACAGGTTGCAGGGCGTATAAGGAAGCCACAAAGTTAATGTCTGTACAATTTCTCTTTCTGCTTCAGAAACAGGATTTAAACATTCCTCTTTGGACAAAACTATCCTGTTCCTAGCACCAGCAAAGCAGTTTGGTGGCAGACCTCCTTGTCACAGAGATGCAGGCTTCCCTACCACAGAGTTTTAGGGATGCTTAAGTTCAGATGGAGACTGGATAAGCTCTTATAAAAGATAAACAACACTGAGATTTAGTAAACACAAGAGACCACATCTGGTTCAGGAAATACACTGAGCTGCATATCTCTGGAAGCTGAGCATATATGTGATGCTTCTTCACGTTATTCTCTTGACAACGTCTTCTTTTGCCTGTTGCTAGAGACAGACTATTGAGTTAAACGAGCCCTTGCCTGATTCAGCATAGCTGTTCTTACACAAACTCAGATGTTGACTGAGCACTCAAGGCAAAAGAGGAGAGATTAGTATCAGACCTATGACTGTACTAGAAACATGAATGCCTTCACTATGGCAAGTCTGATACTACAAGGTTGACCATAGTCACTAGCGCAAAATAAACTGCAAAGGCAAGAAAGAGTAAAGATGTGATACAATATCAAAAGTAGCACAATGTTTATCCAGTTAAGACATTATGGGTCCCCTAAGATCCTGGAAAAGGACTCCAAGCTGTTATTCTTCATAAATAAAGCCCAGGAAAGTTTAAGCATCGCATGCAATGATGATCTTTGACTAGTTTCTTCACTACAAGAAAGCACTCTTCCTTCCTTTCACAGGAGATAATAAAGCAAAAGCAGTTCAAAAGAGAAAGCCACAGGCAGGCAAGAGTCAAAACAGAATGAAGGCACTGACTCATCTGGTGTCTCTGAGGTAGTGGAGGTGGAAAGTTGCATACACTTTTCCAACAGAAACAAAACTGGTTGTCCTTTTCTGTTTCTTACAGTGAGTGACAGCAACATTTGTAGTGCTCCCCTTACAGTGTGAGCAAGCATGAATCCACACTGATTACTGATAGCAGACACACAGCTAGCAGAGCCAAAAGGCTGGTGATATGGGAGATTTCATCAGCCTATAAAGCAAACGTCCTGTACAAGGAGAACAGAATCAGATTTGTTTTAACAGTAGCATGGCTTAGGGCAGCTTTAAAAGTATGTGAAACAACAGCCTGAGAAAATTCTCTCCACTTACCCCCCTCTGTGTCATGCTTCATCAGTATTTCAGTTGTGCTCAGCCACTGAAACGGCCTGAATTAAAAGATAACCTTGCAAAAGGTCCAAACAAATGATCTTAGCAATTCAATTTAAGGCTGCCTGTGGGGCCGTGGTACTCAACTCCCAGCTGTACTGACAGCACATAGCACCGGACAGGACAGATTTAAGCCACCTTTGCCCTGGTTGTGTTGCCACCCTCCTCCACTGCATTCTACAAGGCACACCGTCCAGGTACGGGAACAAGATGTGCCCATTCAACAGTACCCATTAGCAGGACATGTGCGACTCCAGCAGAAACCAAGTAGACCATTGTGTGAGAAGCATACTGCATTAAAACAGATCCTACCAAGCTACAGAAGATTAGTAGCTAGTTAAGGAAAACTGTGGTGTACAAAGTCAGTTATTCAGCAAGTATTACATAGATGAGTCTGACCTGAAAGTGCACACTGGGACACAGCTAATAGTGATAACAGAACATATGAAAAATGCTTGCAGAGAGGATAAAACTGCACATATAAGCACGCTGTTCACCATTCTGTTTCTGCACTTCTTGGCTTTTTTGTGGCTAATAAATCTAGAACAACATGCTTATTATAAATAGAATGCCACTTCTGAAAAAATGCCTGGCACGTGAGGAACAGACTTTCTAAGTGTAGATGTTGCACAAAGTATTGAATGCAAAGTCAATAGATGTCAATAAACCCTTCCATTTAAGAACTGAATGGAGCAGCTGTATCATTTGTATTTCATTAATTCCTTAAAAACCTCAGAATGAGGACCTCAATCCACTGGATATTGTAATCATAACAGCCAAAAGTCTCTAACCTGAAAAACAGACAAGGCTGAATTTAAGTAAAAAAATACAAGACACAAGCAAGAGGGTAAAAAGCAGCACACACCGTCATTCTAATTGTCATTACAAAAAAAAACCCACAACAATACAAGCAGCAAATTCTTGAAATTACAGCATGACTGGAGTTTAGGGCCTATGATCATAGCCATAATACTGTGTGGGAAGAGCAAAATAACTGTAGTTCAACTACTGCTGTTCAGGTATGAGAACTTTCCACTTTCACACCATTTACACACTTTCCAACAGCAGCAAAGACAGATTACAAAGGGGAAAGACGGTGGGAGGGGAAAGAGGTCTAATGGGAAGCAAAGTACCCTTCATAAGGGTCTTAAACAAAAAGGAGAACAGCTACAAAACAAGGTGTCTGTAAGCTTACAGCCCATTCCAGGGACTATTTAAATCTCTCCTCGGCTGAGGCTCTTACTCATGAATGTTGACATTCCAGTCCCGCCAGCACAAAGCACAGGGCTTAACTGCACACCACAGGGAGCTCCCAGGAAAACAAGTCAATTAGAAAAAAGGTCACGTGCAAGTACTTGGTTTCTTTAGGGAATACAACTTCAGAACTACATAAAATGTGGATTTGTGTCTCCACACAAGACACATACAGTATTAGTGATGGCAGTTGCAGACTGCAAATGGCTTTTAACAGTAACACCGAGTTGTATTTCAGCACAGTCAAAAATTGTAAACAAACAAAAAAAAAAGAAATCAAAGCAACTTCCACACAGTAATCATTTTCACATTAGCTAAGTGCAATCATTGTCAGCAAGACTTGGGGTGACTGTTGAGAAAATATTTACTGAGTGTTATGTTGTAGTTTTAAATACTGATAAGGGAAGTCACGTTTAGAGTTCTAACAATAATCTTCCTACCAGCAGTTCATGCGTTCTTCCCTTTGCCAATCTGACACAGATTCCCTCTCACGCTCCCAAATGCTGGAACACGATTCTGTGATTTGTGCCTCAGTGAGACACAAATCTAACCGTACATGCAAATTCTTCCCTGAAGTTACTGTTATGCAAGTCACTTCAAGACAGTAATCTTGTTTTGGTAAAGGTGAAGCCCGCATTTGTTGCAGCAGCAGCAGCAGCTTTGTTGCATACAATAATGTAAAGTTCATGAAAAACACCAGATAACCTTTTGAACCCAGGAATTTTGCAATGCAATAAAGAAAAATGTTTTCCAACTGCTAAGTGAAGCAGTTCCTTTAGTGAACAAACTTTGAAGAAATTCCAAGTCCTTTTCATTGTAAGTTGAAAAAACAGAACTGCATTTAAAGCTCACTACTTGCAAGCAACATATTAGTTTTTTAAGTTAGACATCAACAGTCCTACACTGAACTTTTCATAAATAACTATTAGAAACAGAAGTCCTGAATTGCAAGAACATGACATGTATAATTATGAAAAAATATACAATTTTGTCCTGGCAGAAGCCCTGATTTGTTTGCTGAGATATAGAAACTCTGGGAAGACTCATCATGCCTAAAGCCCAAGACTAATTGCTCATGGAAAGAAAAGGGGAAGATGGGAAGAAACAAGCAGCAATCAGTATCAATGAAAGAGGAAAATCAGTGATTTACAATTTCAAATGTATCGAGAATGAAAAATGAATGGGCTAAGGTGGAGAAATGTGTCCTTTACAGCTTAGCAGAAAGTAAGAATGACAGAGTAGCCTAACAAGCACAGCATATGATTCATACAAATTAAGAGAAAAAGATCAAATGAGGATGAAAACAAAAATAAAGTGAAAAAGGTAAATTTTACAATGAGGTTCTTGAGCTAGTATTTCTTATCATATCTTAAAAATGAAGTATGAAAAAATAGGAATATATGCAGTAGAAGCTTTCAAACCATCTTAATAATACTGCATAAATTTTAAGTTCTGTTCACTAAAGTGTACTGAATCAAACTTTATTGCCAAACAAAATTTCCATTTCCAAACAGATTCAATAACAGAATTACTGGATTAGAAGCCATATTCTGCCACATATAACCCTATGACCTCATTGAAACTAGTGGGGGCAATTAAAAAGCAACCCACTGCTCACTGCACGAGGATGACCTTCACTGCTAATGGCACAGCGCAAAAAAAGAAAGGAAAATTTGACGAAAGGAAGAAAAATAAAGGGTTTAGCATATCAGAAATGGTCAAGGTATCTTGATACTGAAACTAGAGAGCACACTCGTCATCATATGATCTCAAATCACCAAATTTTAAGCAGCATTCATTTCATTTGCAGAATTAAGCCTTAATGCATCTAAAAAAAATAGCTAATAAATGTATTCCTAGCAAAAGTGAAACATGAATGGTAGCAATGCAATACGCACATTAAAAGAACACAACAACAAAGCAACAGCTTTCAAATGTACAACAGAAATATAACAAGGTATAAGAGTGTCACCCTGTATCTATATATGTCCACATTTACTTTTTTTTTTTTTTTAATTAAGCCCTGAGCATTTGGCAAAGACAATGATAAATAAGGAGGGGAAGTGACAGGGAAATCTAGGAATAGCCTCACAAAAGTTTAAATGTATGTGCCTTAGCTGGGAAGCAACCAGAAAAGGACAGATGACAATCTACAAATATCTGAAATATGTAAGCCAAGAAGAAAACAGGATTAAGGAATGAGAACAGAAATGAGAGAACAAATTAAGTCAGAGTAAAATTCTGGTCAAGCATTTAATTATATATGGAAGTGATTTCTGAAGATGTTCTTGAAATTATCATCAGTTAAGGACATTTAGAATTAAATTAGAAAGGACCCCAAGAAAAACCTCACCTAAGCACCTGCAAAGACAGAGGTTACATGATCAATCACTCCTGATGATACTTCCAAGTTATTAGCTTCTTAGTATTCTAAATGTAACCCATCATATTTATACATAAACCCCGAAAATAGTGTTCACAGCAGTATGCACATTGAAAGGGAACTGCTAAGATAAATTCTAGATTTAACAATTTGTTTTGAATCTAGTGATAGGACTTGAGAACATTTTCTCAATTCATTTGCAAATGTTTGAAGAGATCCAGGATGAGACATCGACTATAGCGATGCACTAAAATCGGCAAGACTCAAATTTCTCCCAAATTCAATTATGTCTTTCCATTAACCTTGTCCTGTTTATTCTCAGGATGTTAATAAATAAAAATAACCTTTCAGAACACTGGACACCACCTACTACAATCTTAATGTTTTAAATACATTTGTGGATTCTTCTCCCTTTTCCCTATAAATGGGTTTTATACCTTTAATAAGCTTATTTCTTACAATTCTGAACCAAAGAATTTCCTATTCCACCTCAAAACTACCTTTCCCTTTTGCTTTCCACACCCACCAATCTGACAAAGGCATGTAACACAGGTATCAGATGTGCACTAGGTGCGCAGAACAATCACTAAACACAACATTCATTCTCTACCACCACCTTATTGGAAAGGTTTCAAAGCTTTAAGGGAAAAGAAACTGGGCATGAGAAAATCTGGCTGTAACCAAGCTTCATCTAACATATTTCAGAAGCTTTAACCTGGATCACCTGCATACGTTGCAGTGCATCCCACTAACAGCTCACCTCGACCTCTAGAGGAACTTCGACCTCGAGGAGCCCCTACCACCGTTCCTCCTCCACGTCCCGTCAACCGCAGGACAGCAGCACTGTTTACAGACATCGAGAAATTTCTCTGCCAAGAAGAAGAAAGAGCCATGGTGAGATTCTATTAAAAAAACCCCAAAACTAGAAACACTTAACCATTATCCTAAATTTAGCTTAATACCAGCTTTTCTTTCCTTACGTTCATTGCAAATTCTCTACAACTGACTAATACTAACAAGGAAAAGGATTCCCTGGAGACATGAGTAGCTGAAGCAGTCTACAAAAGGATCTTGGACAATATTAGCACTTCCAAGTTACTTACCTGAAATTTCCATGCTCTAAAAGTAGTAAGTGAGCACCTACTCCTTTATCAGATGATTCCAGCACAGAAGTGATTAGAACATCAGCAGCTTTAAACACAGCCTTTCAGTTGCAAAAAGAGATTGGCACCTGCCTATACCTGACACCATTAATATAAATTCTAGACTTATTTCTTAAACAAAGCAGAAACATGTAAAGAGCAACAGAACTTGAATAAAATTATATTTACCAATCTCCTTTGCAGAAATAAGTCTTTTTTTTCCTCTATCATAGGAGCAACATGCTTTAGGGAAAACAGTGTGTTTAAGGCTTTTGGAATTTAAATTATATTCATTTTAGTAAGACAAACACCAGTAAAATTCAACTTTATTTTAATATGAAATAATTGCTAAAGAGAAAGCTATTTCAATAAAGAATGGATAATTATAATAAACTCTGGCTCCATTCTCTGAGCACAAATAGTTGGAAAACTGGGCCAAAGAATTCAGGAGCATGTTCAGAAACATTAACAAGCACACCTGAATTCACACACACTTTCTGAATGCAAGTTTTAAATAATTAGAATGCAAAGGACTCCAAACAGCTGTTACGTCAGGCTTCTTGATAGGAACTTAAAGGAGGCAAATTGCTTACATGAACTCATCTGAATTACTATGACTTTGAAGGTCTTCAGAGAACAATGAGACAAGCAATTATATACTATTAAAAATCTAAATGTCTAACATCAAAGCCAACAGACATCTGGAGGAGTTTTAACCCATTTCAGAAACAAGCCTAACTGCTCTATATGTTCTTCCTACAAAGCAGATCCTCCTTCAAGAGAGAACTGCTAACTAAGTAGACTTGAGGGGAAAAAAAAAAATCCAGTCATGCATGGTGAAATAGCAAGGTCAGCCTCCAGTAAATCTGATTCTATTTTCCTAGCTAGCTCTTAAAAGTATACAGCAACCATTTCAACAGCAAGCTAAGCAAATCACCTTTCCTGCTGTTGATACTTCTGCTTTTTTGTGAAGTGGTGAAATATTTTACTACAAAAACAACTTTAAGCTATTGATCAAATTCACTGTCTTGCATAGGAGATTCCTTAATTTTTGATGCCTTATTTTTCCAATAAGAATGAAATAGTAATCTCACTTCCTTTTCCAATTTTTTTTTTTTTTTTTTTTTACTTCTCTGCCTAAACTCTGAACAAATTCTCCCTCCCCTCTGCAGAGCTTGCTGTGGTGAAGATGCAATCCTTGTAATGTGCATAGTGATAATAATCCACATGGTAAGATCACAATAAGTAACAAGAAAGCAAAATAAAAAAAGCAAAAAACACCCTACTATTGATTAGTATATTACTTCAGTGTCCATCCCTGACAATGCACACCGAAGAGCAAAGCTGCCCCAAAACAGGGGCTCAGTTAATCCTTTAGTAGCAAATGGAACACTTCCCAAGAAACAGACGTCAGAAACATAACCAATGAGGACACAAAAAAATCTCCATCATATTTAGCAAGAGCTTGAGACTCCCTTACTCCACAAGCAGATAAGATTAAGGAAACTGAATTCTTTCCTAATGCAACTAGGAATAAGAGGCAGGGGTGGGGGAGGCAAAGGAACATATGCTGCATATTGCCAGTGGTCAGTGCTGGAAGCCTCTGTTAAAGCTATCTGGAGAAACCTTCTTTTCTTCAAAAGACAGCTCCCTGGAAACAGATGTTAGACAAATCTATGGTGTCATATAACAAAACTTACTACAAGGTGAATCAGTTGAGCTCTAAGTTAGCCCAGCATCCTTATCACCAGGAAAGTGACATTCTACATAAAAAGGATAAAAAGGACCAGCAACTCCATCTAAAGTATATCCATGTCCTGTAATAAGGAATACTGTAGCCATGAGTACCTGACTAGTTAAATTTCACAGGACTAAACAAATTTAAGCTTAAATTCATATAGCTGACATTATCTATCATCAACGTCTAGATAACGCATCTTTAAATCAGCTTGAGAGAAGTTCTTCCTGGGCATATTACACATACAACTACAATGCTATCAGGTGCATAACTCTCAGGTTGCAAGCAAGAATTGCTCTGAATCCAAGCCTAGAGTAAGCCTGACGGGTTCAGCTTCAACTGAACACTACCCCAAAAGTACATGTGTTCTGATCAGCCTGTCCTCTACAGGACTCCCAAATCTCCATCCCTCAAGTTCTGAGAGGATACTACTACCCTCAGTATTCACGGAAGGGGGCCAAAGGTGTTTTAAACTCTCTTTTATCAACCTTAGGTGAAAGAGCCTTCCTGCACCATGACTAGCAGCAAAGCCATTAATAGTCACCTCAAGATCACTTCTGAACACGATTCTTGATGATGAACAATGTTTATTATGTCATGGGAAACAAACACCAGGAATTTCTGGTAGCTTAATGCCATTCCCTTGGTATCTCAAATCAGTCATGAAGGGGGGAATAAAGATCTTCAGACAAGAAAAATCAGATTGTTCACATCCCCTGGGTCCCCAGAAAGCATTAAAGGGAAGACTTTCTTAAAAAGGAAATATGGACCTCTTCTTTCAGATTAAGATTTTTGTGGAGATTGTAGAGAACTGTTAAGCCAACCATGAAGATTCCTGCATGATTACAGGTGAAAATGAGCAGGAAAAAAAAACAGTGACAGTGCACGCCAACTCCTCAGAAGTTTTCAAGACTGATGAAACACTGGGCACTGCAGCAGAGGACCACCTATCCCTGAAGCTCAGCAGCACTTACCATCGCATCTGTACCAAGAGGCTACTCAGCACATGTTCAATACCCTAGCCTTAAACTATTATTATTCCCCTTGGACGGTATCTTGACAATCCCCAGAAGTCAACAGCCCCTTTAACTGTAAAAGGCTTCTAGTTTACTCTCTGAAGGACTCCGCTATGCATCAGCAAAAAAATAAGTCCAAAGATATTTAACACCAAGGTTCAATATTTTGGTGTGTTACTGTATGTCTGACTGACCATTTCCTGGGCTTGCTGCCCTGAATCCCTCCTGTTCCCACCAGAGAATGGGAGCTGGGCTAAGATTTCCCATAAAAGCATATTCTCCATCTCGGTTGCCTTTTAAGACTAATTATGACATGAAGTTCCTACAGTGTATTTATGTGAACTTAAATATGACTGCTGGTTAAAAGCTAAACTATTAGCATCTTATGTCAAAGGACAGTATCCTAAAAAGACACAAGAAATATAAATCAACTCTGAGGAGGAAGGAATTCCAGAAGAGGTGAAGAGGATATGCCAGAATACCCCGGCACAAAAAGATGATGAAAAATTCAAGAATATAATAGCAAGGGGCAAAGGAAGAAGGATGCTCTGAAATCTAAAGAAACTAACACTCTCCACCCCTGCAAAAATCAAATTATACTCAAGTCCGTAAAAATACTCGGCTTTCTATTAGAAAAGTAACAAACAAAAAGATCAAACCACAGTATCATGAAGTAAGAAAAGTGCTAAGAAACATGACAAACCAGAGAGCAACTACAAAATCAGAAGTTCTGACAGCCATAAAGAGAGAATCAATTCAGAGTCAAAAGTCAGAGGCATTTATCCAGAGGGGGGCAGACAGTTTTCTCTGCTAGGAATTGAATTTAAAGCAAGGGCTTTCAAACTACTCAGATCAGTCACCCCTGAAATGGAATCTTTGTGGACTACCTGCTCTCACTCTTATCTTGTTCACCAATTAATTATATACCTATAGAGACTAAACAAGGAAATAATGAAGCAACTGCTTACAAAGTAGTTGAGAGTACTGCACCTTCCTAAGAAATGTTAACAGTCAAAAAACTTAAACGCTTCTCCAAAGACCACAAAACTGAAGTTACAGAACTTAGACACTTCTATCACAACAGAGAAGGTTGTCCAAAAACTGTAGAAGGTTCACTGATCTGAAAATGCTGTGTACTTAAAAAATAGGTAATACTTCCCAGAAGATGATCCTAGATTTAACAAGTTGACTGTGTGCCATCAACAGAACATTGTACGAAAAATATTTATTCAAATTTAAGTAATAATTGAGCATGAATGGAATTTAAATTTATATTAACACAGCATGCTTTCATAATTTCTTTCCCTGAAATCTACTAATCTCAAATTTTATGGGTTTTTTAATGGAGGCATACTCTTTATTTTGTCTTTACACTAATGACAATATAAAGTGTTGGTTTTTTTTTTTTAAAAAAAAAGGATACAAACCTGTTCTTCTTCTGTAAAAGGTACAAGTGCCAGTGGTGGCAGGGGCTCCTCTTGTAAAATAGGCAGAAACTCCTTATCCAGAAGGTCTGAAGGTATCTGTATGAAAGGAAAATAGCGTACAAATATACACATGTATTTCCATTTCAGGGATGATGCTACACGCTTTGATTTACAAAAAAATTTTTATCCTGCCAACTCTGGCTCCATCTACCCAGTACATCAGTACTTCCAAAAACATTTATTAGGGGTGGGTGTAACTCCGCTGCAAATTTACACCCCCCAGAAAAAAATTCTTATAGACAAAACACCCAAAGCATCCACCACCCACAACTGTAATATGTCAAGTATCAAGATCATACACATCTGAATTCAAACTTCCACACCACTGCAGCTCAAATCTGAACCAAGTGAAATTTCATCTGGTAAATTAAAAAAGTATTGCTCTAACTTCAATGCACTTTTATAGCCATATTTTTTAATATATGTTAACAAAGCTACCATATATAGCACTGAGGTTGTATTTGATTTAAAGTCAGCATTTTCAATTTACAACCAACAAGGAGAGTAAAACAAAAGTAAAGTGAAACTATAGGTATGGATTTATTAAGTAGAGAACACTGATGATTTAAATCAAAATAAATTTTGACACTAATTTTTAATCAGTCCATCAGCAGATGTGACCTTGAGCATGTGGACAAGAAGCTGCAATTAGAGCCAAGTGAGCTCTAATTATGCCAATAAAGAACTGTCTCAAAAATATCTAGTTCATAATACTAAAGAGTTCTCCCAATCTTAATTGAAGCAAAGCAGCCTAGGGTTTTACTTTTTTTCATTTGGGTATACCCTAGCAGGAGTCTTCCTGCTTTCAATCAGAGTATCTTTTAATCAGAGATGCAACTTTGCCTAATCTTCAGCCAGCAAAGATTGAAGATGACACAGTAAAAAAGGACTAGGGTACAAGATACAGCTTAAAAACATCGCATCTAGTAGTTGACTAGAAACAGTGTCAGGAGTCCTCTCAGTCTCAATAACTAGAATTACTCAACACCATGGAAACACATGTATACCAAAAGCAAGACATAGTCTAATAACAATGATCTTCTGGCAAACACACAGAGAGAAAGTATTCTTTTGGACCATTCGTAACCATCAGAAAGCTTCCTGTAACACAGGGTATTAATAGGCTGTTCTGAATCAGTTGCAACTGTAGAGGTCGTATCATCATCTGATAGAACGTACACAAATTGCAAAAAACAATGACCTCTGACAGGCTGACTTATTCAAGCATAACATCAAGGTTTAAATCACATACAGCAGGATAATTCTGCATGTTAAAACATGGCTTTAAGCTATAACACACTTAACAGCTTTAGCAAAATCTTTGACATTCAATGCCCTTGAATCCATGTATAAGCAATGCAGGCTCCCAGCACTGTATGAAAATGTCAGTGCAGCCACGGTAGGATAAGAACATGGAGGTATGTGTGCACATCTATGTACAAAGCTAAAGGCACAACCTGACGTAATTTCTTGCAGTCCCTCCCTGACTTGAGATTAAGGCTCTTGGAGGGATTCAGACTTCCAAGTCACTACGTGTCTGCTGCAACAATAAACCAACCTCTGCCACCATCTACAGAAAAGCCTAATGTTTACAAATGCAGAATGTATGAATCATTTGCCTGAAACACTCTCTGAAATGTGACTTTTGTATCACTGAAAACCTTCATTTGAAATTAAGCCAGAGGGAAGTTCTTGACTTTCTACGCTGCTCTCTTGCATTACATGTGCTAGATTGTATTTCTGTCCTGAGTCCCAGAGAAGTGGGGACTGCTCTCATTGGGCTGGTTACCTGCTAAAGTGAACTGCCTTAAGTCAGGATAAATGGGGAGGCTCTTGCCTTTTTTAGATGATCTGCTAATATGATTCATTGCCTGACTTTCAAGCTGAATCAAATAACTATTTTACATTATATTAAATAAAATCCTACTGAGGCAAGCAAATCTGCACAGCTGCAAGGAGACTTTAACCCTCCATCATCTGTGGCAGTGGGACTGAATATGGCAATCAGGTTTTTTTTGTTCTCAGTGGGTACAGGAAGTTGCCCCTAAAATGGCAAAAAGAATCAATCAAACATAATGAACGTAGTAAGAGTGGGATCAAATAAGCACACACACAAAAAAACCCCTCACAATTAGACCTCTTCAGTTCTTTGCCAAGGGATACACAACTTCTTTGTCCATAATCACAAAATACAAATAACTATTCCTAATCACAAGACTGTCATTAGGAACACACACATCAGGCCTTCTTCCTCGTCCTGCTCACCTTATTATCCTTTAGAAAAAGTGCCAACATTTCTTCTCTCCCATAGCGATAGTCTGCTAGTTTGTACTTTGGCAAAGCTGGAGACAGAGGAGGCGATGTCACGCTCCCGCCACTAGACAGAGCTCGCAGCCTAAAATAAAGCAGAAGAGCAATGAAAACTGAGTTGAGGAGAATGTGTCTTCACCTATGCTATCATCCCTCTGCACATTTACAGATTTGACACAAATGGAATAAATCCAGTACTGAAAGTAAAGACATTAACAGTCTAACTTCTAAACTCTAACACTTGGTGCTTCAACAAGAAGAGAGAAAGAGCTTCCATCAATTTTCCCATAGACAGTAGAGAGAAAGAAAAAAAAAAAAAAATACTCCCACGAGCACATCAAGGAATTCAATTTATCCCCTGGAGAACTCTTATGTTGACTATACAGCAAGCTAGCTACACCCCTAAAGCCTTGACTAAGCTATTTATACTGGCTACACAAAATTCAGTTGTAAATCTTCCATAGATATTAATGACAACAGGTTCTTTTTGACAAGAAAATTCATACCACACTAGGGACAGTGCAGCAAACATTGAGGAAAAAATTTATTCAGATATTTTTAAAAGTTTAACAAACAGTATAGGACAGTAAATTTTGCAATGAGGTTTCTTCTTGTGTCTCTGGAATCTAATCTACTCCGAATTCCTTTTTCAGAACTTAAAATTAATGGCATTTTTCAGAGAGCACATACATCATTTAGCTTAGCGTCTCAATAAAAAAAAAGTACAAAATATAGCCACACTTTACTTCAGAAACATTTCAAGCAGTAATCTAACTTATGGTAACAGATAAATATGCTATTAAGTTTGGTCATCCCACACAGGTAAGCTACTCAACTTCTTGCAGACAACATCTTAGTTATATGACATTATTCCCAATACGCAGGTGGGTTAGTCTCATTCTATACAATCATTTCCTCAGCTACCCGAATATCCTGTATTTTTAAGTTTGAGGAATGTTTTACAAAAGGATGTGTGTCAAGAAACAAAACCCAGACCATTTTCCTGCAGTCTCCATGATATGCATCTTAGACAAGTAAAACAATGAGAACTTTTCTCAACAATTGCAAAATCCTTGGAAAGGAAGGTGCTCTAAACTAAAAGATTGATTCAGAGGCTACCTCTCACCTAATTACTGAAGCATGCTTTGATTTGTTTTATTGTTCTTTAAACAGAAAGGAAAAAGTAATTTGCAAGTCAAATGTTTATCTTATTTTTTTAGTTTGGTGCCACCCAGTGGCAGTTTCTTTACATACCACTTCCAAACAAAAAATGTCTGGGGAGGCATTATTCAAAGGATTAGATGGCTCAGTGCAATGTTCAACTCCAGTCCAGATCAAACGTGACCAAGAGTTTCACTATTAAGTGATACAACAGCATACATGACAGACATGACTATACTGCAACGCAAAAGAATAATTATAAATCTTAGAATTTTATTCCATTATTCCTGTAAAATCTAGTAACTCACTGAAGTATAATATATACTTTCATACATAATCTAATCTGTTTTTTAAACTAAATGGAGACTGAAGTCCACTCACTATGACACAGCAGTCAAGTTACTGTTAAAATATGTGCTTTTTTTAGAGTTGCCTTCCCCCTTCTCTTTTTTTTTTTAATATAACGTTGGCTTCCATCCATCAATGAATCTAATCATGTCTATCTTACACTGAAGAGCACTCCAGCATAAGATATCTGCCTGGTGGGTGTATTTATAGACAGTGATAAAGTAATTCTTTAACCTTCTTTCAATCTAACAAAATAGACTGAGCTCTCTCTTTGTTTTCCAGGCCACAAATCATGTCTGTCTTCTCTGTTGAATACTCTCCAATTTTTGTACACTGCGTATAAAAATGTGTCAGCAAAAGTAAATGCATTATTCCAGTAACAGTCTTACCACATGCTATGCAGCAATTATATTTCCTATAACCACTCCACACTCCCATTTACACACTTAAGGATCACATCACTCTTCAGAAACCACACCATCCAGAATTCTTGTTTGTAATCGCAGTCACCAACACTTTAAGAAGAAATTGGAACAAATACTGAACAATAATCACACCTGTGCAATTACTCTTTAGCAAAAGCCAGGACAATGCATGTCAGACAAGCTGGAAAACTAACAGCTGATACAAGATTATACAATGTCATGGATTCCCTTTAACACAACAGCTCGTTTTTCCTGACATTTTTCAGTGTGCACATGCAGGAGACTGACTTGGAACGCACACTTTTACCATATTCCATACAGTTGTTTTTTTTTTTAATACTGGAAAAAAAAAAAGCTTGCTTAGCTATAGATTTAAGTCCAGTGAGGAGAGTGTAAGAACTTCTTATTAATATGTATCACATGGAAAGACCAAACATGTAAGTCTTCTTCACTTACTCTGTGTATACCTCCAAGAACATAAACATTATTCCTCCCTCAGATACTTGGTAGCCATGTGAACGTTATGCATTACCATAACATAAAACCCAACTCATTTCATACACAATGCCAATTTACAAAGTGAAGACTAATTTTATAATATTGCTTTAAGTCACAGGCCAGGGACTGAGGTGAAGCAGTATGGAACAACAAAGACATTATATCCCATTCAGTCTTATAATCAATTCAGTCTCAAAGGACAGAAATTCATAATGTTTTTTTAAAATTTTAGACAAGGTTCCGGAGTCTCACAAAGCAGAAAAAACACTCACCATTCAGGCCCAAAGTTAAGTGTCTGAGTTTCTGCTGCCATTTTTTCCTGTTCTATTCCTCTTTTTTAAAAAGCGTGAACCTGAAAAATAAAAATGTTTACTATGAAAACAACTGGATTAATACATTCCTTCATAAATTTCTTCCCAATACAAAAGCACACCTGGTCATGCAAAGAAATGAAAAAATTGACTATGTGGATTTTTTTTTTTTTTAAGGAATCCATTTCAGCTCTCCAACACAGAGTAATTTACTAATATAGGAGTAACTGCATCAAGATCTCTTCCCTAAATTCATCTTTTTAACAGCTCAAACAGGACACTGGATCAGGGCGTCTGAAGAAACAATTTGTACAAACAGTCCCTTTTCAAATCAGTGATTACAGCAAGACAACCAAACATGGAGAATTTGATGCATAATCCTCTTCTGTAAGAACAGTAATGCTTAATTAACAGAATTGCAGCTTCCTGACAATTACAAGAGGATAAAAAACCCACTAGAATTACAGCAAGCAAGATTCGCCAGTTGAGTGGCAGAGTATTCAAGAAATTTCCACTGCTCACTCTTGAAAAATAAGCCTTCTAAAGATTGAGTACATCCAATGCTGTGACATGCTCCTAAATCCGCAGGCAGATGACAGTATTTCTCTCATTCTTGGTTTTATTAAGCAAAAAAATGCACAACTTAAGAATTCAGCTGCTTTCTTTCCTATTAGCCAAGGTCCTGCAGACGCTAGTGAAGGCCAGACCAAGTTCCTATGTATCAAGAGTGCATGGACAACAGCAGATGAAGCCATACTGAAGAGAAAGAACAAGACTAACGGAAGGCTATGAAGTTTCCTCTATCAGAGCCAAGTCCAGCCTATGCAGTTCTGGAGAAGTGTCTTTTGCAGTAAGAAAATACAGCTCCTCTTTCCTTCCAGCAACGGCAAAATTCCGATCTGCAGAGGAAGGGGTTTTGTTTTTTTAAAAAACAAACAAAAAAGGATTTGAAGCATTACCTACAGAAAGAGGTTGATTAGCCTTCAAGAACCCATAAAGACAGATGGTAGGGAGGGAGCTTTGCCGTATCACAACTCTGTTCCTTAACAGACCCAAGGACTAAACAAGAAGCTTCATAAATTTGTCTATACTTTGCATGAAAAGGTGATGGAAAAGAAAAACAAAACGTGGGGAGATAGAAGTGGAAAGGGCATCAGTTACTGAAGAAAAGAAAAAAGACAAAACCACACAAAGGAAACATTTTTTTCTTATGTATCTGCTACTGAAGTAATGATATCAGAGTTAAAAAAAAAATCAACAGCCTGAAAGCTAGAAAATGAAAGGAAAAAAAAAAAACACGCTAAAACTGCTTGAGCAGATTTTACCCAAATCTTTTTGGCATACGATTATAAATAGTTGTAAAACCCCATGCAGCCTAAATCTACCAGCCAATGTTTGGCTCATGTATTTTTGCTACACACCGTATTAACTTTTTCCCATACACAATTTATATACAAATTGTAGTATTTTTATTTTCACATTAACCCTATATAATGAAATAGGATTATCCCCACTACATGCACCAGAAGCTAATACAAAAATATCCAGCCAGTCTCACAGGCCTAGTTTGAGATGATTTTGGTCTGATTTGGGTTGCCTTTTTGAAGCAGCCAACAGCTCATTAGAACATTCATGGTATATCCATTCATCATTCTGCAAATCAAAATACAAGGTTAGGTACCTAAAGAAGACATACAGCAGCCATATGTGAAAATATTGTGGGGCAATTCAAGCAAACCATCGTGCACACTTTGGCAGAGACAAGCCTCTAACACAATTCCTAGCAGCCTTAATTGGATGGCTGTCCCTTTGCTTCCTGCAATGCCTGTAATCCTTCTGCTGGGAGGTGTAGGGGGAAGAGCTTTCAGATCAACCCATGTCGATCACCAGGGAACCTGGGATCTTTAGCTCCTAACATCAATGCTAGCTTAGTATCAGTAATACCAAAAAGGCTGGCACTGAATGTTAAACTGCAATGAAAACACAGCTGAAAAGCATAAGATACAAGGATAAAACACTAAGAACCCATTAGGATCAAGCGGTTTTGGACCCACTGGGCTCCACCCTCTTCAGCCTCTGGGTTTCCTTCCCAAAATCTGAGAATATTGTGTCATCTTTCTCAACTGGACTCCTAAGCACTTTAGTACCTACAAGCATAATCAAAGAATGCTAATCATCCCATTGAGCTGCAAAATGGTTTTCTTTGTCCCTCATTTTTGGCCACCACACTTTTTTGGGGGAACTCTCTGCTGGCTTCCTCTTCTGTGTTGTAATCAGATCCTCCTTAGAACTTCTGACTGCATGAATTTTGAATCAAAAGCAAGACACCTGTAAGTGGATGAAACTGTAGCTAAATGGGGGGGGGGGGGAGACACGAGAAAAAAAAAAAAAAAACAATACG